CGGCTCATTGTTAAAGTGTTTAAAGACCGGACTGTCAGCCGCAAATCTGGGTCTGAGCGTGCGAATTGTGGCCGTCAGCGGCTAGTCAATGTTAGGGCAGAACGGGGGAGGGGCAAGACTGGTACAAGACAACAGAAGGGTAACAGTGCCGTGTCAGATTCCTCGCATCACCTTTCATCATCTCGTGGAGTCACCAGGCGGCCCAACCAAGTACTGATGGGGGGGGTCATAATAATCTGGCCACTCGGTGTATATCACCAGCAAGATCTTCCGGCCATAATTCCCAGCTCTGTTCCTGCACACCTGGAACATTTAGGTGTCCCCAGTTCACCTTTGTGGGTACCGGCACTCACCTTGGACAACCAACTCTGCGCACACAGAGCTCCGCCCACAACTGTTCTCCACCGTGCAGCAATAGTTTCCAGCATCTGCTTTGCACACATCCTGTATCTCCAGGTAATGCACTCCAGACTTGTCGCACATATTAAATCTTCCTCCGCTCAGCAGCTGAACGTCGTCCTGAACACAAGAGACGAGCAATCAATATACAGAACAACTATGCAACATGGCTGCCAGGGAAGGGGAATCATTAATATTTCTACCAGTGGCTCAGGAGTCACATGCTGCCCTCAGCTCCGTCTAATGCAGTTTATGACAACCTGATACCCGTCTGTCTGCATTACATATTTCCATCTGTTGTCATTATTATTATTATTATACAGGATTTATATAGCGCCAACAGTCTGCGCAGCGCTGTACAATATAAGGAAGATATTACAAGTACAATACAATTCAAGACAAGGTGGTAAGGAGGGCCCCGCCCCTGAAGGCTTACAATCTAAAAGGGGAGGGGCCAGTGATACATGAGGAGGGAGCTGGTTGGGGATGAATGGTCGGGTGGTCAGGTTGAGGTGGGATCGACTTCCCTGAAGAGATGAGTCTTTAGGGATCGCCTAAAGGCAGTCAAGAGTGGGAGATAGACGGACAGGTTGGGGTAAAAAGTTCCAGAGGATGGGAGAGACTCTAGAGAAGTCCTGAAGGCGAGCATGGGAGGAGTTGACGAGGGAGCCGGAGAGCAGGAGGTCTTTTGAAGAGCGGAGCGGATGGTTAGGGTGATACTTTGAAACGAGGTTGGAGATATAGACGGTGGCAGAGTTGTGGACGGCTTTGTAAGTGATTATTAGTATTTTGAATTGTTATCCTTTAGGCTATTGGAAGCCAGTGGAGGGATTGGCAGAGGGGGTTGGAGGATGGAAGCCAGTGGAGGGATTGGCAGAGGGGGTTGGAGGATGGAAGCCAGTGGAGGGATTGGCAGAGGGGGGTGGAGGATGGAAGCCAGTGGAGGGATTGGCAGAGGGGGGTGGAGGATGGAAGCCAGTGCAGGGATTGGCAGAGGGGGGTGGAGGATGGAAGCCAGTGCAGGGATTGGCAGAGGGGGGTTGCGGATGGAAGCCAGTGCAGGGATTGGCAGAGGGGGGTGGAGGATGGAAGCCAGTGCAGGGATTGGCAGAGGGGGGTGGAGGATGGAAGCCAGTGCAGGGATTGGCAGAGGGGGGTGGAGGATGGAAGCCAGTGCAGGGATTGGCAGAGGGGGGTTGAGGATGGAAGCCAGTGCAGGGATTGGCAGAGGGGGGTGGAGGATGGAAGCCAGTGCAGGGATTGGCAGAGGGGGGTGGAGGATGGAAGCCAGTGCAGGGATTGGCAGAGGGGGGTGGAGGATGGAAGCCAGTGCAGGGATTGGCAGAGGGAGGTTGCGGACACTGAGCGGCTGGTTAGGTGAATGAGTCTAGCAGCTGCATTCATGATAGATTGAAGGGGGAGGAGCCTGTGTAGTGGAAGGCCAATGAGGAGGGAGTTACAATAGTCAAGACGAGATATAACAAGGGAGTGGATGAGTAATTTTGCGGTGTCATTGGTGGGGAAAGGGGCGTATTTTGGAGATATTACGAAGGTGAAGGCGGCGGGATTTGGATAGGGATTGGATAGAAAATAGACTAATATTAAATATTTATCACAGAACAAAGAGTGAACAGACAAATGTTTGCCCCCAAGTACAAAGAGATTTTAATCATAATGGAAGGGATACACAGGTGAAACTCGAATAATTAGAATATGGTGCAAAGTTCATTTATTTCACTAATGCAACTTATGCGGTGAAACTAATATATGAGAGAGACTCATTACATGCAATGACCGTGGGATTACTGTGCTTGATTGGCCAGCAAACTCACCTGACCTGAACCCCATAGAGAATCTACGGGGCATTGCCAAGAGAAAGATGAGAGACATTGATTGCATGTAATATTCTCATTCTCTGAGGTTGTGGATTTGGGGTTCTTGGGGTTTTCATGAGCTGTAAGCCATAATCATCACAATGATGACAAATCACGGCTTGAACTATCTCGCTTGGCATGTAATGAGTCTCTCTCATATATTAAGTTTCACCGCATAAGTTGCATTAGTAAAATAAATGAACTTTGCACAATATTCTAATTATTCCAGTTTCACCTGTATTACCATCAGTACAGGGAGGGATTCTTTACATTACAAAATGTCCTAAAACATCCAAAGTGTGTGAGAAGCTGATCATGGAGACGTCTGTGTCCTTTTTTTACCCGGATTGTTACATTGTTTTGTACAAACAGAAAGTAAAGCCGTTTTATTTTTATTCCAGATCATTTCTATAGAAATAATGTATTTCTGTGTTTTCTGCCTCCAAATCAATAACATGCTGCCTGGGAGACCATGGTAACTTTAAAATGGTTATGGGGGGGGGGGGGGGAAAAAAAGCGCAGGGAAAAAGACACAAACTACTGGAGGAAATCTTACCATTGTGGGAGGGGTAGAGACACAAACTACTGGAGGAAATCTCACCATTGTGGGCGGGGCAGAGACACAAACTACTGGAGGTAAATCTCACCATTGTGGGAGGGGCAGAGACACAAACTACTGAGAGGAAAGCTCACCATTGTGGGAGGGACAGAGATACAAACTACTGGGGGGAAATCTCTCCATTGTGGGAGGGGCAGAGACATTGTGGGAGGGGCAGAGACACTGGAAGAAATCTCTCCATTGTGGGGCAGAGATTTATACATTAGTATGTTACTCACAATCTGGAATACAGTACTGGAGACACAACCAAAAACCAAACGTTGGAGAGAAATTCATACTCAAAGTTGATAATAAAAATATTGTAGAAGAGGGTTAAATAAAACTTTAGGGACACCTGACAATGAGAAATACGCTTGGACCAAACATAAAAAGGATTAGAAACATCTAAAAGGAAAATATTATTCTGAAAGAAGCAGAATCATTTCTTTATGACATTGTCGGGTCCTTTCCAAAGTAAATCCGCGGGCTGACAGGCTGATTGAACGGCGAGCTAATACGACTTCTTTATCTTGGAAGATTTTCAATAGCGAGGGACACATTTCCTTAAATCTAAGAAAGAAACGTAACTTATGTGGTCAGGAGTGAGCCAGACAAAGTGACGGGGGGCTCAGACGTTGTAAATGGGAATCGGGGACAGAGAGTCACCATTAAAAGTCAATTAATATATAAAAGAGAAAGGCAGACCGCGCCATCATGGAGAACACACACCGAGCACACCTACATTCCACAGCACTGTACATCACTGTCTGATCACTAAGCCAGTCACATCAGTCTCTGTACAGAGGAGCTTACACTCTAATGTCCCCTCCCCCACAGTCACATCAGTCTCTGTACAGAGGAGCTTACACTCCAATGTCCCCTCCCCCCACAGTCACATCAGTCTCTGTACAGAGGAGCTTACACTCTAATGTCCCCTCCTCCCACAGTCACATCAGTCTCTGTACAGAGGAGCTTACACTCTATGTCGTACAACAGTATTAGACACAAAAACAACTTTTTATTAAGTCAATAAACCTGCAAGTATGTTTTATGTTCTAAAAGGAAACTAAAAGCATCTGGAGGAGATCATGGGGCTAACATGAATACTCCATGCAGACCCACACAGGGAGAAATTGAACCCATGACCCTAGTACTGCCCCAGTGCCAGCTACCATTCTACAGTTGTCATAGAGTGCACTGTGCTAATAAAAAGCCTATAATAGGTGAGAGTTGGGTGACGGAGAGCTGTGGCAAAATGATAAAATGGACACCAGAGAGTAGAACACACATCTCTATCCACAGCAATCTAGGACCAGCATCTCTCCTGTTACTTTGTATCTCTCTATCTCCCTCTGATCAATGTTTATAAACAATGTTACTTTGTATCTATCTCCCTCTGATCAATGTTTATAAACACTGTGTCAGACGGTCTCTTTTGTGACAGCTGCAGCTTCTACATCGGCTGTATTTACGCAGCAACTCTCTGATGTCATTTTTACAGTTGGGAATTGCCATGAACTGCGAGGGGAGGGGGCCCATCAGAGGGGCAGAAGGACAGGGCGTACTGCACACTTCCTGTGTACCTTGATGACGTTCTTTCAGACGTGTGTAGTAGCAATGTCGGATGTGTACCTTCGTATCTGACACTACGTAGTAAATGTGGCTCTAATAGACAGACCATCTTTGTCCATGATAAAGCCCAGTGCCGCTTACCTTGTGCCAGGTAACAGATGGCTGGGGGCGTCCGGTAACCTTGAAAGAAAACCGTCCGGTCTGACCAGCCGTCACCACACTACGATTAGGCTTTGTAACAAATTTCGGGGGGCTTTCACCCCAAATACTGGGGCGGTTTTCTATCTGGGGGACCCCAAATGGACTTCTGCAAAGAAGACAAAACAATACTGATGGAACAAAGAAGCAAACAGCGGTCACCCTGCTATAAACGAGCACTTTGTTCTCTTGTATGAGCCTTCCTGCAACTTTTAGAAAGTTCTTTTTTTCTTTCTTTTGTTTTAGTTCTCGCCTTTTCTTTACATTTATGTCTTTCTATCATCCAACGGGGATTTATTTTCACTTGTCACTTCGAAATGATGTACCAGATTTATAATAGAAGATTGTCTAAAATATCTCAATAGATTAATATCCTGCAGCTCTCCGGTTATTGAGGAACTACAAGTCTCAGCTTTTGCAACCTGAAGTCCTCCAGCAACTGTACAAAGTGCGTCAGACTGACACAATCAGAACCAAGCGGGGAACTGTTAACCACTTCTATACCATTTCTACCCATTACACAACATGAACTCTGTAATGAATTGATGTCATTTGATCCAGTTGGCACAAAATGTTGGCCAAGAAACCACTCAGGCATATGGACTCTCTCCCCGCGCTGTGATTGGTTAGGATGTGAGCCCCCAGAGAAACATTTCGCATCCATCTATCGCTGACGCAGGGGGAGGTGTTGCTGGACATGGTGCCAATAACAGCCAATTCCCAATAAGGTTTCAGAACGGAGAAGCAAATGCCGTATATTGTACAGAGATGCCACGGGGATCAAATCCAGCCGAGCAGGAGCCTGAGAGCGGCCATGTTTGACAGGCGTCTGGCGGTCCCTGGCGCTGGCACTGCGCTCTGTGGTAATAAGGGAGGGATGTTTTTATTGGAAGGTTGGAACAGGAGGACGGCCGGGCCAAAGGAAACACGGAGCGCGGAGACGAAAGACTTAGCCATTGTCAGTCTGCAATATCTCACCCGGGGCTCCGGGAGCTGGACGGCAGAGCGTACTTTGGAACCGCGCTACCTGGAAGAAAAAGAAGAAGAAATGTAGGAAAGTGATCTAATATCAGCCACATATATAACTATATATACATAACAGACACATTTTTTTCCCCCGCTGCACATTTCTAGTTATTTGACAAAAAGACAAAACAGTGAAATACATTTTTTTGTGTACTGTCACTTTAAAATTTTGTATGTTACTTTTTTTGCCTTTAGTGAATGTGACATTCAGCCAAACATTCTCCAGTGGTGAATCAATCACGGTCATTTAAAACACTTGGACCTGGAAGAACTTGAACGTGCAGTGAATGTTCGGTGAAAGTCACATTCACTGCGGTATATGACCCTCGTAGTAAATGTGAATCACAGATTCGAGCCCATCGGTATTATTCACCTTCCACAATGACTTCGATGGTCACTTGGCGCACTCCCTCCTCATTGGCCGCTTCGCAGGTGTATTTTCCGCCATCCTCCCCGTTCACCTCTTTTATTGTGAGGCAGAAGGTTCCCCTGGCGCTCTGCTCCGCCACGCAGCGTCCACTATCTTGGACTGGCTGTCCATTTCTGTACCATGTGACCAGAGGATCCGGGCTCCCCCTGACCTGGAACGCAGAGAAGACATTCTGTTATATTTCCCAATAACACCAAACAGTCCAGCATCATCTAGTCCTTTCCTCCGCACCCTGACTGTCCCTGGCCCCGCCCCTTTCAATCATGAAGGCTCAGCATCACATGTGGGTGTTACCTAGGGTGGCCTGCATGCATATACACCCTGGCTGGGAACGCCCACTCCTCCAGACTGACACCTGTCCATCAAGGCATTTTGATATTTGCATAGCTCCTCCCATGATTCAGCCCACTGCTTGCAGCAGGGCTGATGCCTCTTGAGAAGAATACTGAGGCAGGGTACTGGGATGTATTCAAGAAGCTATGTACAGCACCCTGCTGGACCCTCCCACCAGCCATGATCTGCCTGTAGAAGCACGGAGACCCAGTGATGATGCCACTGGGTCTAAAATAAGGTGTGCAAAGAAAACAGAAAGGATTTATTTAAAAATGTCATTAGCATGTTGATGGGGGTGATAGGGGACCAGCTAGGACTTGTAGTTCTGGACGTCAGGCCAGGCTGGGAATTGTAGATCTGGATGTTGGGCCAGGCTCTGTGCCACAGCGGGGAGGAGAGAAAGTGACAGCCGTCCAAGCGCTGCGGGAGGAGTGCTGTGAGCGGACGGTGTCTCTCCTCCCACAGCGCTCAGCCGCCTATCACAGTCCGGCAGAGCGGGGTGTGGATGGAGACAGCGCTGTCACAAGAGGCTGAGCTCTCCTCCCCGCAGTGCTCGCTCAGCCTCCTGTGACAGCGCGGGCTGTCTCCGCCCACACCCCGCTCTGCAGGACTGTGACAGCGTGTCAGAGAGGAGAGCGGAGTACAAGCAGTCGGTGATCGCCGAGTGTTTGTAGATAATTGAGGACAGTTACAGTATGGTTACTATATCCTCAATTATGAATGAATGGGAAGTGATCTCCATCCCCTCCTACATCACTTCCTGTCCATTCATGATTGTGGATATAGTAAACATACCATGTCCTCATGTTATCAATGATCAGGAACACTCATTCTCTGTGTCCTCAATCTCTTTTTCTATTTTAAAAGGGAAATATCAGGTAGGTGTGGATGGAGACAGCGCTGTCACAAGAGGCTGAGCTCTCCTCCCCGCAGTGCTCGCTCAGCCTCCTGTGACAGCGCGGGCTGTCTCCGCCCACACCCCGCTCTGCAGGACTGTGACAGCGTGTCAGAGAGGAGAGCGGAGTACAAGCAGTCGGTGATCGCCGAGTGTTTGTAGATAATTGAGGACAGTTACAGTATGGTTACTATATCCTCAATTATGAATGAATGGGAAGTGATCTCCATCCCCTCCTACATCACTTCCTGTCCATTCATGATTGTGGATATAGTAAACATACCATGTCCTCATGTTATCAATGATCAGGAACACTCATTCTCTGTGTCCTCAATCTCTTTTTCTATTTTAAAAGGGAAATATCAGGTTTAGACCCCCAATATT